ATTGTATCAACATACTGTTTCTGTGATAGGTGAAAAGATGATTAAGACTTTCACTTTTTTAGAGTGAGATGGACAAAACATTTAAAAGTCCTTCAGCCTTGACAGTAACTTCCCAATTACCTTCATTTCAAAGCAATAATTCATCCACACCTACTCTTAGTTCTCTAACTTTTGGCAAAGATATCGAGCCAAATAGTTTTTCATTGCTGCATTCAAAACAGGAATCAAATCAAAATTATGAAAATAAAGATAATAATGTGGATGATGAAGAAATACTCACAAGTATAATTCTTGCAATCAGAAACAACAAAAAATCAACTTAAAAATAAATAGATTATTAAATGAAAAAGTTGTTGCATTTTTTAAGATTCAATATACGTTATTTTATATATTGATATATCCTATGGCTAAATGTAATGAAGGATAAAATAACTAAAATAACTAGAGAGAAAGATCGTACTTGAGTATTTAAAAGTATATAGCTGAATAAGTCATCTTTAAAAATGCAAGCCGACATTAAATCTTAGAAACAACGATCATAAAAATCAATTAATAAGTTTCCGAGATCGATCTTCCAAAACTTCGGCATATGGAAGCAGAAAATTCAAAACCGATATGAAGTTATGCAGGGAAATTTAATTTCGAAAACACAGTACTTAAGACTGTGATTGACAAAACTTCGTTACACTTGTACAAAGTGACCCAGAGCATTATTCATTAATCTCTTGTGATTTTACATAGTAACCGGGAGACTAACAAAAAAACGCTGCAGCATCTGAAGCTTTGGCTTTTGGAAATAATATTTGCGCTAAAATTAAAAACAATTCACTTTTTTGATTTACCTTTCCTTTTTTCAGTAATTATCGTCATGTAAGTATGAAAGATTATATCGCACCTATTCTTCAAGAGTCTATTGTAATGCAATTTTGCTTAATATGAGTATTCACGAAATAATGCTCTAATTAAGTTGATTCGGGTCGCGAAATAACGCACAGGATATAACTTCGAATTTTGGATTAAGCTTAATTCAGGCCATTATTCGAAATAACGTGCAACTA